CTCAACCACTGCGCCACCAGGGAAGCCCAAGCTTTCTTAATTAATGGAAAAACAAACACAAGTCAACATCTAGAATTAATCATACTGCCGGCATATAACCAGCATTTCAGTCAGAATAAGCTTTTGCCCTATTACTCACTGAGGAAGCCCTTCAGTGAGAAAAAGAGGGTAAAAGTATAAGGTGATACAAGGATACAAGGGCTCTGATCCTCTTTCTCCAAAAGCTGGACCCAGGCTTGGGAATTCAGATTTGCCTATACACCAGGATCACTCACCATTATCCACCCCCCACTGCAGGCACTGGCCAGTTATCTACCCTGTTTGAGTCTCTAGGATGCTGTGATTGCTTGTGAGCATTGCTTGAAGAACTCTAAAGGGTTTTCTGCAAAACTGTTGTCCCTTGAGATACTTCTTATAAAGGCACCTTGTGGACAATAGGTTTGGGAAAGCTGGCTTACTGCATCTGCCTCTGAAAGACTGAGAGCATGCCTGGGCCCAACCCAGGGCCTCAAGAAGTCCTCCACTAACAAAACCTGTGTCACATTTTAAATCCAATATTGCGGAAACCTGTTTAGTGACAGAATTCTTTGTTTTTTAGAACACCTATGAAACCATCAGTAAAATGAGCGCCTGAGAAATGCTGTCTCCAGGTAAGCATGTCAGTGTAGAGCAGCAGGCCACACAGATAGAGGGAAAGAAAGAATAGAAAGGAAGATGGTTTCAAGGCAGGAACGTGGGTAGAGTGCGAACTGAAATATCCATGGTGCTTACTGTAGTGCTAGTCCTAAAAAAAAAAAAAGACCAAAAAAAATCTGTTCCACTGAAGTGTACAAAGGGAGGAGGAATTTTGATTATGTAAGACAAAACAGTGGGACTGACAATATTAGCAGCCTGGATGTAGTGAGATGGTGACTCACACAATTTATCCTTACTTCTGGAGAGGAGAAAAGGAACACAGTGTGTTGGTATGAACCAGGCTGCCCAAGGAGAATGAGGAAAATGGAAGAAAGTTCCTTAACTCAGACTTAAGAGCTAAAACTTTTAAAAAACTGTTCTGGACCTCAGTTTTCTTCCTTCCTTATTTTTTTCCCTTTTCAAAATTTGAAAGCCAGAAAAGAATATGCAATCTCTCATGCAACATTGCAACAGACATTATCTTTAAAAAAAAAAAAATTCAAAGAAAGATTTGATTTCTCTCTTGAAGCTCCCAAGAAATAATAGGGAACATAAAATTTCTAGCTCAGTAAAGTGTAGACACTCTTCTGCCTCATCTGTAGACATAGCCATAAGATAACGTATTTATTAAAAAATACTGTCCCTTTTGCTTCAAGTTTTCTAGAGTTTCTAGAATCTTTATAAAGAATTATAAAAGTGGTAGGGGGTTGTTCTGGGGAAAATTCTCAATCACCAGCATCCCTCACCCACCCACAGCATTGCACAGTGACCTAAATTCAGTGCAAGAGTGCTGTGAGAATATTATGTATGAGCATATATTACTGTTTGCAAAGATTGTAAAGCAGGAAACAATTTGTGTTTGAGGCTATAAGTTTACTTCTTGGAATCATTTTAAATGGGCAGAGAGGGAGGTTACTAAAAATGTTCTAAAGTTGAAACATTAATCCAGGCTAGGAGCAGACAAAGAAAAATGATGGGTAGCATTGAGAAAAGCCCATCTCCAAGTTTGAAGGTGGGTGGACTGCCCCCTCCCCCCAGGGAGTTTGGGGAGGACAGGTCACTGTCCAAGGGGAAGGTGGTTAAACTTCAAACTTCCCGTTATTAATGAGAGTTTCGAGCAAGACATGCCAAAATGAGCAGCTTCACAGGCGTCTTCACTGAAGGTCTGTGAGGAGTATCAAGGCTGGCCCTTCATCTCTGGCAATTTCCGAATTCTCACTTCAGGTCCCAAGAGGTCTGGCTAATATTTCATTTCTGTGAGATCGCTGATCTTTATAATAAATCTAGCACATCCCCGTTTCTTTGTGTTAGTTGGAATGGCTCTTTTCTTCTCATTCCCAGAAAAAAGTTTTCCCAGGACTGGGGGACTAGAGATAAATGGAGAATTTCTGTACAATGTGGCTCACACACTCAACCCTCCCCGCCGAGGCATCTGTTTGATCTGCACGGACACTTTTGTCTTTGGACATTGCATAGAAACTGAGCATGAAGCAGAATAAGAAACGAAACTAAAGATCAGCTCTAAACAGATACAACATTTTCAGGACAATTGGGGCCTGTAGAGGTCCCAAGGTGACAATGTAACACTACCTTTTATCTATTATTTCTCAAATTTTGAGAAGAAACATCCAGAATGTCCATGTACGCGGTATGTGCAGTAGTAAATAGAAGATAAGATATCCTCAAATTGCTGATTTTATCTGAATGTTAAAAATGTCAAATGAAAAAAAAAAGTCAAATGATTACATAAATTGTGTGTCTATTCAGAGTAGGGTGATTTTAACTGAACAATTTCTTGAAAGCCAAAAAAGTGTTCTTTGCTAACTATTCTACTATCATACATCATGAAAGTATTTTAAATAAGATATTTTAAATTATTAAGAAGGGGAAACTACTTTCAAAATGAAATAAAATTCTCTTTGAGTATACATTATTTCAGTTTAAACTATGCTTTTTTTTTTTTTAAGACTATCATATATATTTTAGGAGAAATATTACAATTGGGATATGTGGGTGCACATTATGCTTGATCTAGTTGCTACCAGGCAATAGCCATCAACTTGTTTCTATTTCAATGAAGATTCCAAATTCACAGAAACTTAGAAACATGCTCTTTCCATAGCAGCAGATAAAGGGTGAAACTCAAAAGATTTTATTGATTTTAACATGACTTAGAGAATTTGTTCTCTTTTTCAGCAGTAATTTTTGTTTTTTTTTTTTAGTCTTTACCAACATCTCATATTTTCTTTTCTAATTGTATTTAGTAAGTCATACAAATTTTGAAAGTAGGATAATTGTGACATTACTGTAAAATTACACATTCTTTCTTTTTTTAAATTTATTTATTTGTTTTTTTTTTTTAATCTTTGGCTTTGTTGGGTCTTTGTTGCTGCACACGAACTTTCTCCAGTTGCAGCAAGCGGAGGCTACTCTTCTTTGTCGTGCGCTGGCTTCTCTTGTTACGGAGCACAGGCTCCAGGCACATGGGCTTCAGTAGTTGTGGCACATGGACTCAAGCAGTTGTGGCTCGTGGGCTCTAGAGCTCAGGCTTAGTAGTTGTGGTGCACGGGCTCAGTTGCTCCATGGCATGTGGGATCTTCCCGGACCAGGGATCGAACCTGTGTCCCCTGCATTGGCAGGCAGATCCTTAACCACTGCGTCACCAGGGAAGCCCTAAAATTATACATTCTTATAGTAACGTAGAATAACCAATATCAAATTCTTTTTTTTTAACATCTTTATTGGAGTATAATTACTTTACATTGTTGTGTTAGTTTCCGCTTTATAACAAAGTGAATCAGTTATACATATACATATATCCCCATATCTCTTCCCTCTTGCGTCTCCCTCCATCCCCCCCTCCCTATCCCACCACTCTAGGTGGTCACAAAGCACCAAGCTGATCTCCCTGTGCTATGCGGCTGCTTCCCACTAGCTACCTATTTTACATTTGGTAGTGTATATACATCCATGCCACTCTATCACTTCGTCCCAGCTTACCCTTCCCCCTCTCCGTGTCCTTAAGTCCATTCTCTATGTCTGCGTCTTTATTCCTTTCCTGCCCCTAGGTTTTTCAGAAGCTTATTTTTTTTTTAGATTCCATATATATGTGCTAGCATACGGTATTTGCTTTTCTCTTTCTGACTTACTTCACTCTGTATGACAGATTCTAGGTCCATCCACCTCACTATAAATCTCAATTTCATTTCTTTTTATGGCTGAGTAATATTCCATTGCATATATGTACCACATCTTCTTTATCCATTCATCTGATGATGGACACTTAGGTTGTTTCCATCTCCGGGCTATTGTAAATAGAGCTGCAATGAACATTTTGGTACATGATTCTTTTTGAATTATGGTTTTTTCAGGGTATATGCCTAGTAGTGGGATTGCTGGGTCATATGGTAGTTCTATTTGTAGTTTTTTAAGGAACCTCCATACTGTTCTCCACAGCAGCTGTATCAATTTCCATTCCCACCAACAGTGCAAGAAGGTTCCCTTTTCTCCACACCCTCTCCAGCATTTATTGTTTGTAGATTTTTTGATGATGGCCATTCTGACAGGTGTGAGGTGATACCTCATTGTAGTTTTGATTTGCATTTCTCTGATGATTAGTGGTGTTGAGCATCCTTTCATGTGTTTGTTTGGCAATCTGTATATCTTCTTTGGAGAAATGTCTATTTAGGTCTTCTGCCCATTTTTGGACTGGGTCGTTTGTTTTTTTGATATTGAGCTGCTTGTATACTTTGGAGATTTTTCCTTTGTCAGTTGCTTCATTTGCAAATATTTTCTCCCATTATGAGGATTGTCTTTTCGTCTTGTTTATGGTTCCTTTGCTGTTTAAAAGCTTTTAAGTTTCATTAGGTCCCATTTGTTTGTTTTTATTTCTAATTCTTAATGTAAAAGAGATGCTAAACTATGGATCAGGCATCAAGGACTCTAACTACGTGTAATGTCAGCTTAGCATATGAATAAAACATAACATTTTATTACAAATGCTTTAAGATAATTCATTAATGATTAAAAAGCATGGTATAACATTTTCTGCTACTGTTAATTTCATTTATTATGACTCAGACACCGGGAATCAGGCTTTTAAACATAGATGTTACAGCTACAAAATGCAAGTTTCTTTGTGGTTAATGTGGCACCATGACAGTGAATAACTGAAATTGGTAGTATAATTGTTCCAAGTTAACGTGCTAAGAAAACAGGAAATGACTTTTTTCTTTTGTGCATGTGTTGTTTAAGTTGTCTTTTTTTTGCCAACTATTTTGATCTCTTAAAATTTCTATTTGTCAAAACACAGAAAAATGGCTCACCTGTAACAGACATACAGCCTAATGGAGCAATGAGAGTAATGGGGGCAAATCCATAGGCTGCAAAGTTTCCTGTCTCTCCCACAGCCATCAGTATGACGCCGCCCCACCACAGCATGCCCTTGAAGTACGGCCGTGGGTGTTCTTGGTGCGCCAACTGAAGATGCGAATATTTCTGGAAGTACATCACGATGTAAATAAGGAAATATTTCCACCCAACCAAAACTTGCCTTGAAATTTTTGATCCTATAAAATTGCTTCATGGCTTTTAAATTTATTTTCAGATTATTATAGAGCAATTATTATGGTTTTCTGTTTGTTCCAAACATATTAACAGAAGTGAATCATACTGATATAGCATTTTATAGTTTAAAGGGCCTTCTCACATATTGCTTAATTCTCATAACAACTCTGTGAAGTAAATATCATTGTTACTATCTAAAGACGGAGTGTGTGGTAAGGAGTTAAGTGACTTTTTAGTCCACCACACCAAAATACTTCTTTTAGATTGTCAAAAAAATTCAAACGCTGAAATAAAGATAATAAGTTACTAAAGAAACACCTTTGGAAAAGGGATTCAAATCTATGAGTCAAAGTTGCTGCCACAATAAACATAACAGGGCAGAAAGCTCTGGTAGCAGAGGGATGGGGGAACTCATTTATATCTGGTTTGAGTATTTCTTTGTACTGGAAATGTATGAATTCCTGAAAAACTGGCCATTAAATAAAGCTTTAGTTCCCTATTGATTTTATGATAACTGAACTTACTTCCTTAAGAAGTATGTACAATTCTAGATTACTTTAAAATCTTTTCTTTAAATTTTTTAAAAAATTTCAGAAGTTATTTAGAAAACGATAAAAGTACTATAAGAAAATGTAGAACATTAAAATAAATCTTGGCTTATGCCAAGATATGAACATCTTTTTAGGTGTGATACAAATTCACAGGCGCCTGGTCTGGGGTACACAATACTATTAAGAGGCTCAAAAAACATTTAACTTCTTTTAAAATCAGAAGAAGAAAAAAGATGGACACAATCTAGCCTGGATTATATTTGTCTTTATATCAATGAGGTCATAAGATATACTTTCTTTAATGGAGGAGGAAGTCCAAGAAGGCAAAAGTGCCTGAGGCTCACTGAAGTCATAATGTGTCTCTGGATCAAACTCCAGAGTTAGAAAAATAAGCTTCTTCTTACCTGAATATTTAGGGAAATGCTGATTACCAAGTTTCCTAAAATGGCCAGCAAAACTCCAAAAAGGTGAATCTATAAAAGAAAATGTTTTCTTTAAATGGTACTTTAAATAGCACTTGTAAGATATTTACCAAAAAAAACTATGAAAATTTAAGTTGATACATTCATTCATTTGTTCATTCATTCAGCAAATATTTACTTAGCACCCATTTGCCAGGGTCACCTGGAATATGAATAATGGTTTTATTAGGATTAATTTTTCACTTTAGTCAAATATTATTTTTTATAACTAGTTCAGTCCTTTACTGAATTCTCTAGGTATGTGCTTCATTCACTAAAATAAGCAGTCATCAGCTTCTGACTTTTTCCCACTAAGATGCTGCTATTTATCCTGTCTGCCAATTTCCTCAGCAACCTCTCTGATTGGGGTGTTCATTGCCTCAAGTATGGACTATATAATTATTTCTGTTCTCCCTCTTTTCTTTCTCTTAAGATATTCTGGAAGACTGTGGTATGAAAGAGAGATCATTGGCTTTGGGGTTAAAGGATGAACCTGAGATTCAGATCTGCTATTTTCTAATGGGCGACACTGAGTAAGTTATTTCAGCTCCCTGGCCTCAGTAAACAGGGGACGTTGGATAAGATGTTTCCAAAAATCCCTTGATCTCTAAACTGCTATGAACCTCACTGGAGACAGACTAAATTTTCCCACCACTCTGCTGGTCAAGAACCCACAATGTCTCTCTACAGACAACTATATTAAATACAAAGCTACTGTACCAGCTCCCGATGATTGGTCCTCATCCTGACCCATCCAGTTGTCCACAGCACACTTTAAGGTGCTCCCTCTACCTTGGGTACCTGGCTCCTGACTTCTCCAGTCAGATGTCATACTTTTTCTCATGTCATTCCTCTCACCCAGACAGAGTATCTTCTTCCCTCAGCCCATTTCAATCAGACCTCACCCTCCTGGCCATCGGAGCTCTACCTCCTTACGAGCTTCTCAGACACCACAGCCCATCTTTACTTTCTCAGACTCTAAATGGTGAACATCCCTTATTTCTTCTTTTATATTGTCAGGTGTATCATTAGGCTCTATAAATAGATGGCAGATTCTCTGAGGGAAGGGAATCATGTCTAAGACTTCCATGGGGTCTTCTACATCAGCTACTATATAAAATGAGGGGCTTAAAAAAATACTTGCTTGAGAAAGTATAGAGTGGTTTAAAACAAGAACTACAGAGGTTAAAAAATTAGTTCTGACACATTGGCCAAGATCTTTACTATAGCTAGCATATGTATTATTCGATGACTTCAAAAGATGCATATTCTGCTCCTATCTAGGTACAAAGATGTAATATCTTCTAGCGGTAAAACTTAGCAATGATAGAAGGGCTCTTCCCCCTTCTTCCTCAGTACATAACTTCTAGCTAGCTTCAAATTCCAAGGAGTTATTTGAATTTCAAATGAACATTACAACCACAAGGAACCCTTTTCAGAATGCAAAATGTCTTTGAAGTTTTAGAACTTCATTATATGTGCTGAAGTGAAATTCAGTATTTCTAAAAAATGAAGCAGAAAAGTTGAAAACCCATTTAATAGTTGACATATAATATCCATGGTCTTTAATCAGTTAAGAATTTTCTTTTCCTAATAAAAGCAGTTGGCAATAATTTTGATCACTATTCCTCATGGGGAACAATTGTATCATAATATAATGTGCTATTTCCATGCTTTCGATTTACAATTGACTGCATTTGGCAGTAATCAGGAAAATAAAAATCCAGAAGAAGTTTGGGATTGAATGGATAATTATGAAAATCTTCTAAATTATAAAAGTAAATTGTTGAATAGAAATAAGTTACTTCAAAATTCTTTAAATGATTCACTGAGTAGTTTAAACACCACCAGGCCAAGTGTTTAGAAATTGGTTAGCAGGATTTCGCAATGATTTCTTGGATATGACATGAAAAGCACAGGCAACAGAAGAAAAAATAGATAAGCTGGACTTTATCAAGATTAAAATCTCTTGTGTACCAAAGGACACTATTAGCAGAGTGAAAGGCAACCCACACAATGGGAGAAAATATTTGCAAATCATATATCTGATAAAGATTGATATATAGAATATATAAAGAATCCCTACAACTCAACAACAAAAAAATAAACAATGCAACTGAAAAATGGTCAAAGAACTCAAATAGACTTTTCTTGAAAGAAAATATATAAATGGCCAATAGGCACATGAAAAGATGCTCAATAGCACTAATCATTAGGGAAATGCAAATCAAAACCACAATAAGCTACCACTTCACACCCATTAGGAGAGCTACAATTTAAAAAAAAACAACAGAAAATAACAAGTGTTGGTAAGGATGTGGAGAAATTGAAACCCTAGTTCATTGTTGATGGGGATGTAAAATGGTACAGCTGCTGATCTCATAACATATACAAAAATTAACTCAAAATTAACCAAAAGACCTAAATGTAGGAGCCAAAACTATAAAGTTCTCAGAAGAAAACATAAGGGTAAATCTTTGTGACCTTGGATTTGGCCATGGATTCCCATAGATAAGACATCAAAAGCGTAAGCAAAAAAGAAAAAATAATTGGACCTCATCAATATTAAAAAACTTTCTGTTTCAAAGGACACTATCAAGGAAAGTGAAAAGATAATCCACAAAATGGGAGAAAATATTTGGAAATCATATATCTGACAAGGAACTTATACCTAGACTATATAAAGAACACTTACAATGCAATAATAAAAAGATAAATGACCCAATTAAAAATGGGCAAAGGATCTGAATAGACATTTCTCCAAAGAAGACAAATGGCTACCAAGTACATTGAAAAGATGTTCAACATCACTAGTCATCAGGGATTGCAAATCAAAACCGCAGTGATATACCACTTCATACCAAATAATATAGCTATAATCAAAAAGTCAGATAATAACAAGTGTTAGTAAGGATGTAGATAAATCAGAACTCTCTAACACTGCTCATGGAAATATATAATGGTGCAACCACTTTGGAAAACAGTCTGGAAGTTCTTCAAAAAGTTAAGCATGGAATTTCCATTTGACTCAGCAATTCCATGCCAAGGTATATATCCAAGAGAAATGAAAACATATATCCACACAAAAACTTGTACAAAAATTTACATACCAGTATTGTTCATATGACAGCTAAAGGCTAGAGGTAATGATTGTACAACTCAGTGAACTGTACAATTTAAATGAGTGGATTATATGATATGTGAATTATATTTCAATAAGTTGTTATACAAAAATAATTTTAAAAACACAAAGCATTTACATCTTTTTTTTTGCCCAAAGAAATAAAATGTTACAAATGTAACTAGCTCTATTTCAGTCTCTTCTTCCTCTCAGAGATAAGTGACTTTTTTTTCTGAAGTTGATACAAATATATTTCTTTCTTTCCTCTATTTATTTTTATTATCTATTTTGTTTACCCAGCTTTTCCTTTTTTCATCATCTTCATTTGGACTCTTAACTCATTAGCTTTTTCTGTTTCTTTCTATCATGCAGATAGGGCTTTACATTTTCCCCTAAGTACACCCTCTGTCTTAGCTGCCCGCATAGTTTTGGCATGTACAGTTTTCATTGGCATTTAGTTCTAAATATTTTCTGATTATCTCACCATTTTTATCTGAGCCTTATATTATTCAGAGATGTGTTTTTTAATATTTCTAAATGAATGGGGTGTCGACTATCACTTTATTACTAATTTCTAATTTTACTGAGTCGTGGGCAGAAAATACACTGTGTGTATATTAACATTTGCTTTTGACCTATTATACAGTGTAAATTGGAATTTGTTTTGTGACCTGCTGGTGTAGGGTCAAGTTTATAAGTGTTCCATGTATGTTTGAAAATAAAGTATTTAAAAGTTGAGTTAATATATTTTATATATCAGTCCTATCTATCTATCCATTCATCTATCTATCTCCATTAAGTCATTGTTCAAATCTTTGATATTCTTACTAAATTTTGTATTGCTTTGTCTATCAATTGCCTAGGGAGGTATGTTACAAATCTACTCAAACATCTATTTATATATTTTAAGACTATAGTCCTAGGTGTATACAGGATCAGGATTGTTTTATCTTCCCAGCTAATTGTTCCTTTTTTTAAATTTTATTTTTATTTATTTATTTACTTATGTTTATTTTTTATTTATTTATTTTTTCTTATTAGTCATCCATTTTATACACATTGGTGTACACATGTCAATCCTAATCTCCCAATTCATCATACCACCACCACCCCCCGTCCCGTAATTGTTCCTTTTATCATTAGGTTTTTTCTTTAAAATCTATTTTAGCTGATATTACTGTAGCTGCTTTCTTTTGATATTTGCTACTTTCCACATCACTTTAACATTTCTGCATCATATTTTAGTCAAGTCTCTTATATATAGAAAATAACTAGATTAAAAAAAAATCCTGAGACTTTCTGTCAGATGGGGAGGTTAGTCCATTTTGTTTATTGTGATTATAAACATATTTTCCTTTATTTCTATCTTTTTTGTGTTTGTAGTTATCTTGCTTTTTCTTTGCTTTCTAATTTCTCTTTTCCTGAAACCTGTTGAAACAGTTGAGTTTTCTTTATTCTTTTCTTTCCCCTACTCTTCTGGCTAGGAAGTTACACATCTTATTTATAGTCTTTCAGTAATTACTGTTAAATGTTTTTAATTTTGAAATAATTATGGACTCACAGTAGGTTGCAAAAATATCGCCCAGGTTGGGCTTCCCTGGTGGCGCAGTGCTATGAGAGTCCGCCTGCCGATGCAGGAGACGCGGGTTCGTGCCCCGTTTCGGGAGGATCCCACATGCCGCGGAGCGGCTGGGCCCGTGAGCCATGGCCGCTGAGCCTGCGCGTCCGGAGCCTGTGCTCCGCAAATGGGAGAGGCCACAACAGTGAGAGGCCCGCATAACGCAAGAAAAAAAAAAAAAAAAAAATATCGCCCAGGTAGGTCCATGCACTCTTCCCCCAGTCCTCCCCTTGATGTTAACATCTTACACAACTACAATCCAACATCTGTGGT